GGGCACATAGGGTACTAAGTCTGAGCTTGTGGGCACGGTGAGTTGGCCTCAGGATGTAGAGGTGGAGTCCAGATACTCTAGGGCCCAACTTATATATATATATATATATATATATATTTCCCCCCACGTTATTTTAACTAAACCTCAGGAAAAAATATGGTCCACACTGCAATGTCAGATACAGGCAAACACTTGAAACATTAGCTACCCTGACTTCTTAAATACACCCTGAGATTTTATTCTTTCTTTTTAGATTAAATTTTATTATTGATTGATTGACTGTATGTGCGGGTGCACACTTGTGCTGTGGTACATGTATAGAGACTACCAGCAGGGACTGGGACCGGTTCTCTCCTTCCACTATGTGGGGCCCCAGAGACTGAACTCAAATCAGCAGACTCGGCAGTAGGCATCTTTACTCACTGAGCCATCCTGCTATTCCCCGCCCCCCCCCCCCCCCCCTTTTTAAGCTGCAGTAAGCTGATCTCATGTCCAGCCAAGGGGTATAAGAAGGAGGCAACCCTTTCCTCTCTAAATTCCCTTCAAGGTCTCCCAATCTTCTGGATAGTTCTGTCAGAAGTTGTAACCTGCTTTCAGCTGTGCAGCGCATGTGTAGGAGGGCAGACAGAGCAAGGCTTCTCTCTCTAAAGCCAGAGTGGCCGTTGTGACAGGCCAGGGGGCAGGTACCTGACATTCTGGCCTCTCCAGCAGCATACAGTAGATTACTGGAGTTGTCAGGGTTAGAGACTCGGCCCTGGTGGCCTTAAGGAGCTAGCCTTGACCACCTGTCCTCAACAAGCCTATGAGACAAGTTAAAGTGAAAAGCAAGGGACAATGTATTCAGTGAGGAACAAACAAGAGATCCAGTAGCTCCCAGCCTTCCTCCATGATGCTAACAAGAGGTTTAGAGAAAGTAGGAGTATGCATCACTAAGCCATCCCGGTCAGGCTATGGTCCTGCCCTCCGCCGATCTTAGCTGTCTCTCCTGCAAGGTAGCCTGAGAAGCTATCAGAACTGTGTGAAATCTCTTCCTGGATGATGCCTCTAGCAGACACCAAGCTTCAGCCTTCCCTTTCTCCCAGCATGAGGCGCTGGGAACCAGTTCAGTCGTCTGATCATCTGAGGGAGGGCACAAGCATCTCTTTAGAATATCTCCCTGTCATGACATTTACATTAGGTGCCCGGTAAAGGTTTGAGCAAGAACGGAAGCAGCAGTGGGAAGAAGCATGTGTGGGTGCATGCCTGACATCCCAGTGCTGAGGAAGCTGAGGCAGGAGGATCACAAGTTTGAGGCTGGCTTGGACTACAGAGTGAGACACAGTCCTCAAATACTTCTACCACTGGACCTAATCTAGTGGGCTCTGCTCTGTGTCTTGGGGCTTTAGTACACAACAGGGCATCTCTCAATAAACAGGCTGTAGTGGGACCCCGAGTGGGGAGTGGAGAGGCTCAACACAGGCACTTTCCTCTTGTTCCCCGCGCCCCCCTCTCTGCATGCCTGTGTATGCATGCACACACATCTATGCAGGTGCACTCATGTGTATGTATGTGTGCATGGCGTGTGGAGGTCAGAGGTGGACATCAGGCATCCTCTTTTATCGCTCTCCTCCTATTGAGACAGTGCCTCTCACCAACCCTTGAGCTGTTTCAGCTAGACAGGCTGCTCAGTGAGCCCCCGGGATTCATCTGTTTCTGCCCACCCCTGTACTGGGGTTACAGGGAGAAGTCACATGCTATCCCAAAGATCCTAGCTAATGCAGGAAGCAGGTAATCACTTCCTCAGAAAGGGTTTGTTTGTTTGTTTCTTGAGACGGGGTTTCTCTGTGTAGCTCTGGCTGTCTGAGAACACGCTCTGTAGCCCAGGCTGGCCTCGAACTCACAGAGATCCACCTGCCTCTGCCTCCTGAGTGCTGGAATTAAAGGTGTGCACCACCTCGACTGGTGGTCTTCAGTCTTTTTAACCCAAGAGCGCAGGTGCAGAGGGGCCACCACTTCACAGTGAGGTTGAGGTGGGGACGACTGTGTACCTTGCTGGCTCCTTAGCAACAGGAGGAGTAGCACCTGTTCTTTCTCTCCGAGGGTGATCTCTCCGAGTGGCTGTCACTGCCCAGGATGAACCCTTCATCCTATAAGTTCAGGGCAAGATCGTCAGATGTGAGATCCCTGTGTTTCTATGACACCGTCTTGATGTTTCAAGCAGCTGGGCTGTGGGCTATGGGATGCTGGCCAGATGAGTATTTCTCAGGGTTAGATGTTAATGGAAGATCTCCACCAGCTCTCCAGCTGGGAACAGCTACCTTCCCACTTCACCACCTTATGCTGGAGCAGAATTTCAGGTGGTGGGCATCTGCAAGGGTGTGAGATCACTTCGTGGTGGCTGTTTCCCCTTCAGGTCCTGGAGAGCCGTTCTAGGGGAGGGCTGAGGTGGAGGCGGCAGAAGATAGGATGCCTTCAGCTTTGAAGGTCATGACTGGGACAGAGTGGAAGGTCCAAGTTTAAAAGAAACCAAGCCCAGGCCTGTGTAGTCCTTTGGTTAATATACAGAACTAGCACATGGCAGGCATGTCGATGGGTCTAAGACATGGGATTATCCAAAGCAAGACCCCCAACCTCTTGGAGCTTCTGGCTTTGTGGGGGGGGGGCACAGTAAAGAAATCAGTGAGATCATCTCAGATATTGAGAAGTGCTCTGCAGGTGGCCTGGCATAGTAGCACACGCCTTTAATCCCAGCACTCGGGAGGCAGAGGCAGGCAGATCTTTGTGAGTTCGAGGCCAACCTGGTCTACAGAGCGAGTTTCAGGACAGACCAAGGCTACACAGAGAAACCCTGTCTTGAAAAGAAAAAAGAAAAAGAAAGAAAGTAAAAAGAAAAAAATGCAGATCTCTATGTCCTTTCCTAGAATGAATGGGAAATTCAAGGGCAAAGCCCGGAATATGTCCTTTTTAATTTTAATTTATTCTCTTATATATTACATCCCAACCACAGCTTGCCCTCCTTCCTCTCCTCCCATTTGCAAAACCAGAGACCTTTTCCCTGAGATTATGACTATTATTTAGTTTTGTTTTGGAGACTCGGTTTCTCTGTGTAACAGCCCTGGTTGTCCTGGAACTCGCTCTGTAGACCAGGCTGGCCTCAAACTCACAGAGATCCACTTGCCCTTGCCTCCCGAGTGCTGGGATTAAAGATGTGCGCCACCACTGTCCGGCTTTCCCTGAGACTTTTGTTTTTGGAGATCACACCTGGTGGGCTTCAGCATCACTTCCAACCTCTAGAGTCTAGTTTCAGAGAGTGAGCTTCCCACTGAGAAGGAGAGCCAGGACCAGGGCCAGGAGAGGAGCAGGGGTGGAATGCTGAGACAGGTACAGAAAATAGGTATCCAGTCCCTTACCCCTCAGCCCTGGCACAGAGACCCTCACCACACCCAACCTGTAAGCATTGCAGCTCAGATGGAAAGGGATCCTGACAGTCGGGAGCCAAGGAATACCACAAGTTACTGTAAGTGTAGCAGTTTAGCCCTGCTCCAGGGAAAGGTTTCCCCAATGTAACAACTCTGCCTGGGCAGGGGAGGGTTTCCCCAGCAAAGTTGTTACAGTTATATTCCGGTTCCCAGAGTGTAAGAACTCTGCTCTGCTAAGGGAAAGTTTCACCAGCGAAAGTGTTACAGCCTTTGTCTCCTCTGCTCCACCCAGGTTCCATCTCTGCTCCCGTAAGGCAAAAGAAGGTCGTCACCCAAACTTCATTCAAGAGATTTATCTGGAGGGAGGAATCCAGGAGGGTGGCTGCCTCTGCCAGGGTTGAAAAAGGCAGCAGCAAACTGAACAGGTACAGGGCTTGTACAGGGCTTTTTAGGGGTAGGGTTTTCCAGGGAGAAGATTTTCAGGGTGAGAATTGGTTGGATTTCAATCCCTGGATTTGGACAAATTCAGATTGGGTAGATTTTATGCTCAGGGATCGGTTGGTTTTGTGCTCAGTTGGTCAGGGACAGATTTGGCTCTGGTTTCAGCGCCAAAAGACTAAAAAAGGCCTCCCATTAAATCTTTCACTGGCCCTTTTCAGCCTTTTGGCTCTAGTTTTAGGGCCAGGGTGTGTTTCTTTCACTGGCTCTGGTTCTAGGGCCAAAGTGTTTCACTGGCTCTGGTTTCAGGGACAGGGTGGGTTTCTTTGGCTGGCCCTTTTACCCTACCCAACCCCTCAGTACACACACAGCCTATCACCACACAGCCCATCACCACAGCCTCTCACCACACGCAGCCCCACAGTACACACACAGCCCAGTAATTTCTCACTACACGGCCCCTCACTGCATAGAGACTCATACTACGGGAAGCCTCTCATCATACAGCCCTTCACTACAGCTCACCCAGTCCACACCAATTCCAAAGCTCACTTCCAAGGGACCTCTTCTCTCTCCCTGTTTGGTTCAGCCTCAGAGGATGGCATTGAACCCAGGTTTTTTTGGGGTGTGGTGGGGTAACTATTCTGTCTCCAGGCATGTTTTAGGGCCCCAAAGCCTTAGTGCCCTGGCTCTCCCTACCCCACCGTACCTGACTGGGACCGCTGGTCCCTGACACCAGTAACATGTTGGATTTAAACCCGCAGTCGCAGAAGTCTGGAAAATACCCCCTTGATAACCGCAGACACAGGCGGCCAGGGACCTACAGGCTGTCTGACAGCGTGAGTAGCGAGGCCAGGGCAATCGGGCAAACCAGTCATTACTAGTGACTGTCTCTACCCATCTTCCTACACTTCCTGCGCTCTGGGTCCTTCCGGAATCCTGCCTCTGTTTCCCCAGCCGGTTCCCCTTGACTGAGTCCCATGGGAGGAGGTAGGGGCGGGAGAGACGCCTTGGAAAGCACCTTCTCTCCTTCCTCGCCTCCGCACTCGGTGCGCGCGTCCTTGCAGGCCAGTGGCCGGAGGCACAGCTCAGTGGTGTCACCGGGTCAGTGGAGGTGGCCGCCTCCCAGGCTGGGCGCTCGCCGCAGTCCGGCTCCCCGCGGCGGCGGCGGCGGGGTCCTCCCGGCCGCCCGGTGCTCGCGCCCGGGTCTGCGCGCCCGCCCTCCGGCTCACGCCCTTTGGAACCGCGCGTCCGGGACTGCGGCAGCGCACGCATCGTGCTCGGCTGGCCGCCGGGCGGCAGGAGGCGGCGGCGGCCCGAGTGAGCCGGAGGCATGGGCCAGGCGGCCTGGAAGGGGTTCGCCCTGTCGCTGTTCGACTACAAAACCGCAAAGTTCGTGGTCGCCAAGAGTAAGAAGGTGGGGCTGCTCTACCGGGTGCTGCAGCTCACCATCCTGTTGTACTTGCTCATGTGAGTCTTCGGGCACTTTTGGGAAGCCAGGGGGATGGGGAGGGGAAGGTGTAGAGACAGGGGCCTTAGGGAGTCGGCCCTCATGGGCCCTGGGATGTAAGGTTGGGAAGGTGAACACTATGTCTTGAGAAACGTGGGAGGGGCGGCTGGGTACCTTGATTTGAAGCTATTTGTAGGGAGCCCCTTCTCCCAGGACTGGAGCGCCCAGTATTACAGTCATGGCTAGGAGGCAGGGATGCCAGGACTTTGGGCTCAGCTGCCCCCAGAGGCCTCCCTGGGCTCTGGCCTGACAGCTGGCCTGGGCACCCAGCAGGTTATTTATAAGCACGGAGCATCACTGGCTTACTCTTGGTCGGGCCAACTCATCAGATTGGCATGTTCTGGAACTCAGGGTTAGCTCACGGGAAACGCGGGCGGCCTCTCCAGTGTCCAGCTGCTCCACTGTCCGCCTGTGGACATCTCCTCACCGAGCAGGATGTGGGCCCACCAGCCCAGGGGCAGCTTGTTGGAGGTTTAACAGCTAGACCTTGGTCAGAGCCCTCCCTTGCTCCGAGGAAGAGAAGACACAGGTGGAGAGCGGCAGCCACTGAGAACAGCGGCTAGTCACTCTGTTTTCTAATAAATGGTGTGCAGTGATTGCTCCTGGGAGGGCAGTCCTGACCTAGCCTTGCTGCCTTCTAATGGCTGCGTTTCCCCGCGCCCCCCACTTTCTTCTTTTTGGTTTTTTTTATTTTTTTGAGACAGGGTTTCTCTGTGTAGCCCTGGCTGTTCTGGGACTGCTCTGTAGAGTAGGCTAACTTCAAACTCAGAAATCTGCCTGCCCCTTCCTCCGGTGTGGATAATAGCTGCATTCTTAGCGTTTCCTGGATTTTAGCACCAAGGCACTTGGCAGTGTCCTACCTCAGGGTCTTTGTACTGCCTTTCCTCAGCCACCACGGTCTTTCCTTCCCTACTCGGCGACACCACTCCTTGTCCAGGTTTGAGTGCTCCGGTGACTCCTTCTCTGTCCCTCCCTGGCATAACCATGGCCAATTTGAATGGTCATTTGCTCAGTGTCTATTTCTATCTCCTTGTAGTCTTGGGGATGCCATGATGGGAGGGACTGGTGTCACTTCACTTGGGAATAGGTACGAAATGAATAAACAAATGCTGAATATTTGCTTACTGTTTTGGATTGGGCCAGGCCTGGCATTTCTCTGCTAAAATGGAAGGCTTGCTCAAGAATCACTACTTTCTCAGAGCTCCTTGAAAATGTGATAGCTTAGGGTTGAGGCTTCCCTATCTCTGCCCCGGAAATGAGGAAGTGGACACATGTTGGTTGACACCTCCCTGACTCCCTGGAGAGAGTCAGCCTACCATGCCACTCACTGCGTGACTAACCTGTAACCCTAACCCTAAGCTGGCTTCTTCCTCTTTTGACTGATTTCCCCAGCCTCACCAAGATGGGTTTAGCTGGATATCTAACTACAGCAATAAGCTGGTGAGTTCTGTGCATGGAGCTTTTGCTCCGAGTCAGGCTCACTGTGCTTAGCATTTGACAAGGGCCATCTCATTTAAAAAGTATGTCTTCTTAGGGGCCGGAGCAATGTTTAGGTGGTTAAGAGTGCTGTTCTTTTAGGAGTTCAATTCCTGGCTGATTGGCTTACAACCCCTGTAACTCCAGCTCCAGAGGATCTGACTCCCTCTTCTGGCTTCCAAGGGTACCGGAACTCATGAGCACACACAAGCACATGCATACAATTTAAGCATATTTACCTTTTTAGAAAGGTGTGATGGGCACACACCTATAATTTTAACCCTCGAGGGGCTGAGGTTGGAGGATTGCTGTGAGCCGAGGCCAGCCTGAGCTGCACTTTCATGATAGTGTCCTTTAATGTGCAAACATTTTTAATTTCAGGAGGCCAAACTTCTTTGTTGCTTTGGTTTGGTTTTGCTGGTTCATTTTTTTTACATTAATTTTATTTGTGTGTATGAGGATGCATGTGCAGGTGCCCATGGAGGTCAGAGGGTGTCAGGTCCCCTGGGTCTTGAGTTTGTTACAGGGGGTTATGAATAACCTAATGTGGGTGCTGGGAACCGAACCCAGGTCTTCTGCAAGAGCAGTAAGTACTCTTAACTTAACCACTGGGTAATCTCTTCAGCCTTTTAGTATTTTTATTACTTTATTTATTGTGTATGTGTGTGGACAAGCATGTGGAATGGCACACATGTGGAAGTCTGTTTTCTCCTTCCACCATGTGTGTGAGATCAACTCAGAACATCAACCTCAGAGGCAAGTGCCTTTATCTCCTGGTCCGTCTTGCTGGCTTGCTTATGTTTTTAGTATACAAGAATATGAGATTTCATTTATTTACTTTTTTATTTGTTTTTTTGAGAAAGAGTTTCTCTGTGCAACAGTCCTGACTGTCCTGGAACTCACTTTGCAGACCAGGCTGGCCTCAAACTCACTGAGATCCCCCTGCCTCTACCTCCTGAGTATCTCCCTCTTGGATTTCCTTATTTCTTTTCTCCCCCACCTTTGGTATTTTGTTTTGTTTTTGGTTTTTTGAGACACAGTTTCTCTGTGCAGCTTGAGAGCCTTTCCTGGATCTCACTCTGTAGCCCAGGTTGGCCTTGAACTCACAGAAATCTGCCTGCCTCTGCCTCCTGAGTGCTGGGATTAAAGGCGTGCGCCACCACACACCTGGCAATTTCTTTCTTTTTTAGAGATACTAATTTTATTATTTTTATGTATGTGAATGTTTTGCCTGCATGTATGTCTGTGCACCATATGTGTGCCTGGTCCCTGTCCTTGAGGAGGTCAGAGCTGAGATTGTAGTTACAGATGGTTATGAGCCACTAAGTAGGTGCCTGGAATGGGAAAGGGATCCTCTGCAAGAGCATCAAGTGCTCTTAACCACTGAGCCAACTCTCCAGCGTCAGATTTTGTTTTAAAAGGTAGTGTCTCATCCTGTAGCCCAGGTCGGCCTTCAACTGTCTATCTTCCTGCTTGAGTGCAGTAACGCATGCTGTGGGGCAGGTGAATCCTGAGCTCTCAGTACTACCAGCCTAGGACTTACTATGCTTCTCACTCCAGCCTGGCCTGGGTAGCCCTGTGATGATATCCACCTGTTGTCCTATTTCTACAGATGGGTGTTTCTGATTAAGAAGAGTTACCAGGATATTGACACTTCCTTGCAGAGTGCTGTGGTCACCAAAGTCAAGGGTGTGGCCTACACCAATACCACTATGCTTGGGGAACGGCTCTGGGATGTTGCAGACTTTGTCATCCCGTCTCAGGTCAGATCACCACCCGGGACCTGGGCTGGTGAGGTGTGGCTTGGGGTGGGTCGCACAGGAAGTACCCAGGCAACTCCATCAATTGTCTCTCTGGCTCAGGATACAGACAGAAATCCTAAATGGTGTCCCTGCCTCCTTTTCTGCACCAGGCCTGGCTTCTCTTGTCCTCAGTGATCTGTGTGTCTGTTGAGACTACATGGGGCCAGAGTGACCTGGTACAGTGGCCCTGGGAATAGCTCCCCAGCTTGTTCATGGCTGCCCTGGGGTAGAACCAGGCTGAGGACAGGACAGAATTGTGGGGTGAGAGTGCTTGGGGTTTGCGAAGCTGTAAGTTACCCACCAAAGGATATCCACTTGGAAAGTGTGGGATCATCAGACAGATGGACAATGCCCCTCAGTTTTGTGGTCCCCATTGTTCCCAACCCCATGCAGAGGTCCACTCTCACCTGGCTGACTCTTCCCCGAGAGTCCAGGAGGAGATTCCTCAAACTCTGTCTGGCTCCTCAGGGGGAGAACGTTTTCTTCGTGGTCACCAACCTGATCGTGACTCCTAACCAGCGGCAGGGCATCTGTGCTGAGGTTTGATTTGGCATGTGTGTTGGGGAGGGGTTGGAAAGCCCCCCAGCTGTGGTCACAGTCCTCCTGAAGCTGGGGCTTGGTTTGCTATATATGTATACTGCATGGTACCCACGTGGTTTGGGGGAGAGATGGGTTTTCTAACTTTTTTTTAAGTTTTATGTTTTCATTTATGATTACTGCCTACTTGCATGTGTGTGCGTATGCGTATGCGTATGCGTGTGTGTGTGTGTGTGTGTGTGTGTGTGTGTGTGTGTGTGCATGTGCATGCCATGGCGTGTGTGTGGAGGTCAGAGAACAACTCTCAGGAGTTGGTTCTCTCCTCTCACCATGGTCCCCAGGCTGCCAGGCTTTCATGGTGGATGTTCTTCCACCACTGAGTCACCCTGCCAGCCTGAGAAACAGATTTTCAAAGGGCACGTGGCCTCAGGCTGGGGAAGAAGCCCTTTTCTGTCTCTGATGGGACCCAGTCCTGGCCTGGGCGACCCCTGGCAGATCCCTTCCTTTTCTTGCAGCGCGAAGGCATCCCTGATGGCGAGTGTTTCGAGGACTCTGACTGCCATGCTGGGGAGTCTGTTGTAGCTGGACATGGTGAGGGCCTGGAGCGGCTGGGGCTGGAGCAGGGCAAAGAAACCTGGGCAGGAAGGTCCACGGCATTGTCCCTGTCCCTTCCCTGCAGGACTGAAAACTGGTCGTTGTCTACGGGTCGGGAACTCTACCCAGGGCACCTGTGAGATCTTCGCTTGGTGCCCAGTGGAGACAATGTCCTCGCCCACGTGAGTGGCCCTGGCCTGTGGTCCTGGAGGAGCTGCCTACACAGTCTTACACAGTGGGTCCCACCTGAGGCCAGAGGCCTGCCCACTCCATAGGTCTAGGGGAGTCATAGAGGGCAGGGGCAGGTCTCCTGCTCAGGCTGCCCTGGCCTGGTTTTCAGGGATCCCCTCCTGAAGGATGCTGAAGGCTTCACCATTTTCATAAAGAACTTCATCCGCTTCCCCAAGTTCAACTTCTCCAAGTAGGTGGGGCTTGGCTCCTGGATGGGGAGGTGGGCTGAGGGCCCTCCCTGTGGCCTTGCCCAAGCTGTGCACGGTGTGTATACATACATGCATGAGCAGGGGTGCCCTTTTCTCTGCTCGGGGGTGGGCTCTGTTCTTGAGGGGACTAAGATACAGTCACACCTGGCAAAGGTCCCATTGCCTCCTGGGTCTGGCCCAGCGACAAAACGTCTCACCCTCCCATCATGGCTTCCTCTTAGAGCCAATGTGCTAGAAACAAGCAACAAAAATTTCCTGAAAACCTGTCACTTCAGCTCCAAGAATCTCTACTGTCCCATCTTCCGACTGGGATCCATTGTCCGCTGGGCAGGGGCTGACTTCCAGGATATAGCCCTGAAGGTGGGTGGTGTGTGGTTCAGGCAGCTCTCCCCAGGAACCTGGGCTCTGCAGTGAGAAGGTGAGGGTGGAGGGGCATCAGGTCCGGGGTGGCCCTGCAGAATCACTTGTCCCCAGGAGCTTACTGTTTTCAAAATTAGTTGTGACCAATGGCCTGGCTCTATCAGGCACTCAGTGGGGATAGGTGGGTGGGTGGGGCTGACGTGGCACCTGCTGGGTAGGTGATTCCAGAACATCATCAGAAGCAGTTGAAAGGAGCCCCATGGACACATGCTGATTTGTGTGTCAAGTGTGGTCAGGCCAGCCCAGCCAGCTGACCTCTGGCCAACTTGTCTGGCTCTCATAAAGGGCTGCCCCGTGACTTCTGTCCATCTGCAGACAACTAGCATTCGCCCTGTTTCTTGTGTCAAGGGCGGTGTGATAGGAATCCATATCGAATGGGACTGTGACCTTGATAAAGCTGCCTCTAAATGTAACCCACGCTATTACTTCAACCGTCTGGACAACAAGCACACGAAGTCCATCTCCTCTGGGTACAACTTCAGGTAACTGCTGTTTTTGTGCTGCCTGGTGACCTTGACTCTATTCTGTGTTCTCTGCTGGGTCAAGTCCACCAGTGTTCTCATGGTCCAGGGGTTGGCATGGAGCACCCTGGGAAAACCCTATCTTTGTGTGTGCCTCAGTTCTGGGCACACTCCTAGAGCTGCTCTAGGACCCCTGGATTGCTGAGAATTTCCCAAAGCAGCCACTTTGTGCTGCAATGGAGAAAAGGTAGAGGCAGATGAGCGTCTCCAGGGCCCTGTCTCCCCAGGTTTGCCAGGTATTACCGTGACTCTAATGGGGTAGAGTTCCGTGACCTGATGAAAGCCTATGGCATCCGCTTTGATGTGATAGTTAATGGCAAGGTATGTAGATCTTCTTCCCATTCCAGGGCCTGGTGGTTGCTGGGCCAGGGAGGTTGGAGTGCCCCTTGGGGATCCAGCGGTCCACCCTGCCTTACTCACCTGGTGGTTTCTGTTTCACAGGCAGGAAAGTTCAGCATCATCCCTACAGTCATCAACATCGGTTCTGGGCTGGCGCTCATGGGTGCTGTGAGTACCTCCTCTGCCTTGCTGGCTTCCTAGGGGAAGGGAGGTAACTAACTGCCTGGGAGGAGCATGCTGAGCACAGAACACAGGAGGGGCTGTGAGGTCACACTCCCCCAGAGGACACTGACTGCCTGTAGCTCTGACTGTGAGCTTGAGTGGAGTGTGGCACAGGGAGATGGTCCTCCAGTCCTGGTGTGGGCTGGAATCTTTGGGATTCTGGGTCTAAAAAGCTCCATCTCCAGTTCTGGTAATGGGAAACTGATTAGGCTATGCCACTTTTGAGCACTGTTGACATCTGGGGCCAGGGGCGTCTTTGCTTTGCTTTACCTGTGGAATGTGTTTAAGTGAACTCCTGGTCTTTATTCACCTGGTCTCACTCCACCTGAGAACCTGCATTTGAAAGGATGAGAGGCAGGAGAGACAGTCTTGTAATCCTTTGGAGTGGGTGTTTAGCCACCCGTAGTGGCTTCCATGGTAGGAAATGGCTGGAGTCCAGGGAAGGACTTCCTGCAAATGCCTGTCATACCCTTGGTACTTCTGGGAGGAAGTTGAAGGTGGGAGTTGTGGGAGTCATTGTTGGGGGCTCACACCAACAACACGGCAAGTTCCCTGCCAAGCCTTCCAGAGGCCTCTCCTCTCCTCTCCCTGGGCAGCCCAAGAAGCCACTAGAGGATTCTGTCAGGGCCCAGGATAGACTTTGCACTGAGACCGAGAAGCCTGTCTTCTGGCATGTAAGCAATCATACAGACAGAACACTATACGTAATAAATAAAATAAATCTTAAAAAAAACCAAACAAACAAAAGCGTGATCCTTAACGATGAGCAGTGCATTCTCCAACCGAGGGCACTCAAGAGGCAGAGGAATCTCTTAGTTTGAGGCCAGCCTAGTCTACTGAGCAAGTTCCAGGACAGCCAGGGCTACACAGAGAAACATGGTCTGGAAAAACAAAACAAAACAAAACAAAACAAAACAAAACAAAACAAACAGTGGTCCCCAAGTGGAGTGTTCCTGACTCAGGCAGTCATCGTTAGGGATCCCTGGTTGTGCGCATACATAGCTCCCATACACTGTAGGTAAAGTCTGGAAGTCCGGGACACAGCTGTGAAATGAAGGCAATAATGCAGCGAAAGGCAATAATGTAGTGAAGGCTGAGGGAAGAAGTAGGAGCAAGGAATCGATAAATGACATTTCTGGAGTCTGGGGAAGACATGCACGCTCCACTCAGGCCCGCCCTCCTCTGCCTTCAGGAACACCTCTATTCCTGCGCTATAGGTATAGTCGCCCTCTGCTGGAGAAGACAGGCATTACATACAACCTGCCCTGATCGGAAGCCTGTGTTCAGGGATGATTAGTCTGCTCCAACTGGGTCTGCTCAGGCTTCCTGGCTTTTCCTGACCGTAGTTGTAGCGTCCCTGTTGTTGAGGTTAAGATGCCCGCCAGCCCATCTTCCACTGGCTATCAGAAGGCTCTTTCCAAACGATCACAACTGCCGCTGTCATGCCTCCCCACAAAGGACTAGGGCCAAAGCATTCTCAGACACGCTGGTTCTCGCCCCCACCGGAAGCATCTTTTGCTCTTGCCCCACAGGCTCTAGGCATTTATTGGTGATGACAAGTCGGCTTCTCCCTTTGCCATGCAATTCCAGGCCTCCAGTTCAGCTCCCCAGGCTGAGTGAATACTTTTTTCCACCTGCTCCCAATCCCGTTCCCATTGTAGGACTAATGGTTCTATATCACAATCTACTTGTCTCCTGCAGCCTAGGGGATCCCCAGTTCTCTGTGGTCCACATCCTTCTGGCACCCTAGTGCAAACCTGGCAGGTGGTAGATTCTTAGTGAGAGGAGCTTGATCCATGGAGTCAGGCCTCAAGCCCAGATCTAACCTGTGTCTACCACGGACATCACCCCTTTCTGGGCTGTGTCTTCCATGTTCAGGTGGTGCCCTGCTCCTGAGTTGTCGTAGGCGCCAAGCATTATGAAGCTAGGATTCTGAGTTAAAGCTTCGAACTCTTGCAGGGGGCTTTCTTCTGTGACCTGGTACTTATCTACCTCATCAGAAAGAGCGAGTTTTACCGAGAAAAGAAGTTTGAGAAAGTGAGGTAAGTTAATCTCCCTCTCCCAGGCCCAAGGAGCACCCCGGCCCCTGTCTAGAGCCTCATCTAAGCTGGTCCTGGGTTGGGGTGTGTAGGTGGTATGCTATGTGTACCTGCGTCACAAGACTGGACTTGGTTCAGAAGACCTGGGGAAGAAGATGTCCCCCCAAGTCACACGGCAGAAGATATTTTTACAGGATCTATCTTAGTGGATGATGTTAGACAAGCCCCATGACTCCTTGAGCCTCAGTTTCTCCATCTTCGAGATGAGAACACTGGCTTATACAAAACGGACTTGGGTCTAGACAGATGCCTGGGGTTGAAGGAAGATACATGTGCATGTGTGTGTATGTGCTCTTAGTATCGGAACACAGAACACAGCATGGGAGGGTGCTGGGTCTGGGGGGACGGGAAGGGAAAGGGGTTCTGGCCTTGCCCTTGGAGGAGGCATTTTGGAGGATCTGGGTCCAGAGTGAGAAATTGGGTCAGGAAGCATGTGCTTCCTCAGCCCCAGCAACCTGGACTGTGGGTGCCGCGTGGACCTGTGTGATCTGTCTGGGTTGCCCACGGCAGCCTGAACCCAGCTGGTACAGCCCCACCTGGCCACAGGCTGCTCTGCCGGAGGAAAGAGAGGCCAGCTGGGAGTGCAAGTCTCTGTCAGTACCCCAAGAAGGTTGTGGCCATGTCTTCTCCAGGGGTCAGGAGGAGGAAGCTAATGTTGAGCTTGAGGCCAACGAGATCGAGCAGGAGCTGCCAGAGGACAAGCCTCCAGAAGGGGTTCAGCAGAATGAGCACCCCCAAGAGCTGGCCCAGAGTGGCAGGAAGCAGAATAGCAACTGCCAGGAGCTCTTTGAGCCTGTCAGGTGAGGGACTGTGGGACAGCTGGCCAGGGCCTGGCTTCTGTAGAGGGGGCTACTTGGGATTCACTTCAGAGGGTGTTCCCAGGCCTAGGATGGTCTTTCTCTGGCCCCCAGTTTTCACTCTTTGCTAAGGTTGGGTAGCCTCCCGCTGGGAGCTGGGTCATGTGGGGTGAGCTGAGAAATTCCCTGGGATGGAACAAAAGAGAGAAAGGTGGAAGCTGAGGGCTGCAGCAGGGGGGCCAGACTGAGGGACCCGAGCCTAGCTCTCCCCTGAGCTGTCACTGCCTGGTCACCCACCTGAGCCCCTCACCTGCAGGTCCACCTTGCTTGTCTAGCACAGCCTCCTATTGCTGTGGGAGATCCTGTGCTTCCCAGTCCTCAGCGTGAACCTCGTCGTGCATCGGAGCTGCCGCTGGGACAGTGTTTCTCCTCGGCTGTACCTGCCTGCTCACTGCCAGAGAGAGGCTGCGCCTGCCGCGTACTCTGCCTCAAAAAGGCCATGCCCGAAAGAGTTCCTGGCAGCCCTCTCTCTGCCTTCTGTGTGCACCCCTCCCCCAAGGGCCGGCCTCCAGGAGAAAGCAGCCACAGAACTTGCAAACAGTGAAGACGTAGCCAGCACTCTTGGCAGAGAACCGATTCAAAGCTAATGGGGCCAGGACAGACCACAGCTCTGAACTGGGAAGAGGCATCTTGGTGCTTGCTCAGGATGGGGCTTCTGGGAACAGGCCCACCAACCCCACCCAGCTTGGGTGGGATCCTGCTGGAAGTTTTTTATTGTGTGGAGGGGAGCCTCCAGGATGGCCAGAGCGGCTCAGATGCAGAAAGGAGGCCCTGGGGCAGGCCCCCAGGGAGGGGGCAGGCCCCCAGGGAGGGGGCAGGCCAGGGGCTTCAGGGGTAGAATGTTTACATACCCCGTCTCTGCACCCAGCCAAACATTCATTTATTCATACAGGCAGTCCACATCTATGGGTGCATGCTGCACTTTAGTCCTATCTGAGAGGCTTAAACAAGATGCTGACCTGGCCCCAGGGTAGGGGGCACACATGTAACTCTCTCCAGAGACATCAGCTAGCCCCAGCAGCCTGGTCTTCCTCCAGCCTCTAGCCAGACTCCTGACAAGTCTCTGCAGAGAATGATAGCTGCTCAGGAAAAGCTGCTGGACGACATCCAGGGGACATTTAGCCCCACCCCCAGATGTAAAATTTAAAGGTGGCCAAGGCGGCACCTGGAAAAGACTTAAGGGGAGAGCAAACTCCAGGGTCTCCTGGGCAAGATTCGGGAGGAAATGCAGGTAAGCCACTCGCCGGTTCTAGCCCCGCCCCGCAGCCTAGGGCAGCTCTGGGAAACCGACATGCCCAGGTGAGAGGTGGACTTGACTGTGCAGTTTAGCTCTCGTGCTGTTTGGGGGGTGGGGGTGGGGCGCTGGGAGTCCCTGATTGACTTCCTGCTCTCAGAAGTTCAGCCTTGAAGTGCTAATGAGATAAAGGATGACTTTCACTGAAAGGCTGTCCCTGACCTGTGTGTCCCGTTCCTGCCCACTGCATGTCATTCCATGGAGCTCGAGCTTTGAAGTGGGGTCCATGGACCACTCTCCAGAGAGCCTGACAAAAAGCAAGGTTGCAAGCCTCTCCCTAATCCTCCCCACACAGAGTTTCCCCGAGATCTCAAAGTGATTTGCAAGCACATAGTTAAATGTTAGCTTGGGTAGCTGACAGGGTACTAGGTCAGACTTACACATGCTGCCCTGAGGCCAAGAGGGTCCCTCTCCCCTCTCCCATCCCTCCCTGTGTTTTTTTTTTTTTTGTTGTTGTTGTTTGTTTGTTTTTAAAGACGGCATTTCTATGAGTCCTGGCTATCTTGGAACTCCATGTAGACCAGGCTGGCCTCACACAGATCTGCCTGCCTCTTGAGTGCCAGGACTGAAGGTGTGTGCCACTTTCCTGGTTTCCCATCTTCACTTGGAAGACAGCAACATGCTCGGTTTATTTAAATTCAAACGTTTTGATGAGGTAATACCTAATCTAACTCAAAATTTAAAGATTCACAAGCATAGAAGTAGCCAGGCATGGTGAACAACTTGAGTCCCAGCACTTGGGAGGCAGAGGCAGATGGGTCTCTGAGTTCAAGGCCAGCCTGGTCAGTGGAGCTAGTTCTATGCCAGGGAGGGCTACATGGTGAGACCCTGTGTTCGTTGTTGTTTTAAGACATCCTTTTCTTTTGCCCTCCTTTATCTTTCTGAGGATCCATCTGGCTGTCCAGTCACTCCCTCAGGAAATGGTCTATTCCTGTAAGACCAAATTCCCTGTCAGAATCAGACTCATTTAATTTAATCAGACACATTTAAATACAGGGCTGGGGAACTAGTGAGCACACTTTCCCTTACACCACGGAGGGCTATCTGGAAAAACCCAAGGTGAGACACCCAGAGCTCTTCATCTGTGGACCATTGTCAAGTGTCAAGTTCTGCCTCGACGTGAGTCCCAGCTGCTGTCTAGGGGCTTCTCTCAATGCTGGGAGCTCCTCTCTGGAAAGCACCACATGCCAGGGACAGTGAACATCCTTCTGCTGGACCCTTGCACGTGGTAATCAGAAGGGGCCTGGTAGCTGGGTGAGGCGCTGCACACCTGTAGACCCAGCATGTGGGGGTGGGTCACCGAGCTCAGGAATTTCAACCTGGGTAACAGATAGTGAGGTCCCCTTCTAAAAATGGGTGGAGGGGTGAAGGATGGCTCAGTGTTAAGAGCATTGGCTGCCCTTTCAAAAACTGGGGTTCAATTCCCAGCACTCACATGATGGCTCGCAACCTCCTGTAATTCTAGTTCCAAAGGAACAGATGCCCTGTTCTGGCCTCTGTGTGTACTAGGCATGCACTGGTGCACAGACATACTGCAAGCAAAACACCCATACATATGAAGAGGCAGGACAGGTGGATCTCTGGGTTAAGGATAGCCTGGTCTACAGAGCGAGTTCCGGGACAGCCAGGGCTCTGTAGAGAGGCTGTCTGAAAAAAACAAAAATAAGTAAGACAAAACAAAATGGGGTGGAGGGGAGAGTTGCTGCCCCTGGGGCAGGAGTGGTGTCCAGAGCAGGACCTCTTCCATGGAAGCAGCTCCCGCACCTTTGGTTGTCTGGGGATGCCACCAAGCCATTGTGCTTTCTGAAAATGAAAGACCAGGTGATCCACCCAGGCAGCGGACTTCCCTGTTAAAGTGACCCCATCAGGTTACTTTTATGTTCAGGAGCAAAGAAGAGGGCCAAGGGTCATGGCTGTGTAGAGCTTGTCCTGGCTCTTCCTACTGTGTTGAATGGCTTGGGGACAGTCAGACAACTCACTCTGTATCAGAATGAACATGCCTTTTACTAGTTACTGTCAGTAAGAACCGAGTTCATGTTGTGTCCTGTTCCTGTCAGGTGTTAGACTGAATTGTGACCGACACTGGTAAGCAACACACACGGCCGCTGCCCCCACATGCTTCCAGTCTGGTGGGTGGCGAATCTTAACCATGAAGTGGTCACACTTGTCATGAACTAAAGAGGGTGCTGGGGCAAGTTTCAACCTGGAACAGCGAGAATAAGTATACTCAAGGGAGTGATAGTTTAAATCTGAGAGGTTAGGAGCCACCTGCCTAGGTGACAGGGAAGGAAGGGAATCCCAGGTGCTTTGATGTGGAAAACAACCAGGAAGGCTGTCACTGCCATGGTCAGTGTGAGGTGTTTTTTTAATCTATTGGTCTCCATTACACTCCACTGCCTGACAATCTGTTAACCTGTTGTTCCTTCTCGGCCAGCAAAGTTAGCTAGGTCGACCTTGGATCGTTTTAGGAGGCTCCAAACTTAGAGAGGCCAGGGATCTTATTACAATTTCTCACAGGGATGCCCACTCTGCCAAAGTTGCCTTGTGGCCCCCTTCACCCCTTACTTCTTTCCTTCTGCATAACCTTGATATAAGGCAGCTCATCTATCTTATGGGAACCAGCTGCCTAAATTAAAACAAAACCAACCAACCGAAACCTCCCAGGATCTTCCTCTGTAGCTCCAGCTTGCCTCAAACTCTGGATCCTCCTATCACAGCCTCTGCAGGTGGAATGAGGCTTCTAACTCGGGAAGTGAGTTGGGAAATACTCCTAAACTTTGGGGAAACACTATTTTTCTTTCTGGGCACTGGTTGGCTTATTGGCTACAGCCCTAGCCCAAGAGCCCCTTCCTATTCTGATCTTCCAGGATCTGATGAATTATGTGTCAGTCTCTAGCCTAAACTGGGCCATCTAGGATTGTCCTACAAGTTATTTCATACCTTTGGGAGCATCATGATGTGGGCCAACTGATATACTGGGTGCTATCAATGTGACTTGGGAATCAGCCAGGAAATGGCAAACTGCTGTTCCTGACGCTGGGGTCATGGCTGCCTTTTGCCCTCTCTCTTCCCATGGGTTGTTCCTCTCAGTGGGGAGGCCATCATAAAGGTGGAACATGCCTTGTTCCAGGTGTTTGAGCTGGGGACCAGAATCCCTAATCATAGCATCTTTCCATCTGAACAGGGCACCTCTTAGCTTTACTCATCCATCCCCCCCCCCCCCCCCCCCCCCCCCCCCCCCCCCCGGGACAAGCACTCTTCAGAGGGCGACTCTTCCCTTCAGCCAGCACAAAGTCAAATGGGCCAAGATGGCAGGCATTTTCTGGGACCTGTCTGACATATGTATTTTTGGACACTTATTTGGTTCTAAAATAATAAAAAGCATCAATTTTAAATGTGTCCCTCTTTTTTTTTCCCCTTCATGGTTACCCTATGTAGGGGAAAAATGTAAGGTTAGACCAAAGAAGGCAGACACAAGCAATAATAACAAATGTATTACATGCCTTGTTACCACGCAGATTCAAATCAAAGCATAGGGTTATTTTTAAATTACATTTGTGTGCATGTGTGTAGGTGTGCATTTGCCTCAGTGTACTTGTGAGGGTCAGAGTCCACTCTTCCCTTTGACAATGTGGGTCCTGAAGACTGAAATCAGGTTATTAGGCTTGGCAGCAGATACCTGCTGAGCTATCCTGCCAGCCACAAGGAGACTCTTTTTTTTTTTTTTTTTGGTTTTTTTGAGACAGGGTTTCTCTGTGTAGCTTTGGAGTCTGTCCTGGAACTTACTCTGTGGCCCAGGCCAGCCTCGAACTCACAGAGATCCGCCTGCCTCTGCCTCCCTAGTGCTGGGATTAAAGGTGTGTGCCACCACCGCCCGGCCTCCAAGAAGACTCTTGAAATGAACAGATGCTAAAAGACAAGGAAGGAGATGGCTCAGTGGTTAAGAGCACTTGCTGCTCTTCCAGAGGACCTAAGTTCTGTTCCTAGCACAACTGTAACTCCAGCTCCAAGGTAGCTGACAACTCTGGCCGCTGTGGGCACCTGCACTCATGTGCACATACCCACTAACATGCAGACACATATACCTACACAGAACTATGAATAATAAAAATTTAAAAAACAGACTAGAAAGACAGTGATATAACTACTACTTCTCATTGGATAACTGCTGAGAAGTATTTGAAATTAACTCTGCCCTACGAGGATTAAATCTGCTCAAAATTGGCAAGAACATAAAAGTAGTCATTGCACAGTTTTATGGCAGCAAATGCTTGCAACAAATTTACTGTTCAACAACAG